AGAGAATTTGTGGAACGAAGGGGCAACGAGTCAAAACTCAGTTGAGGAAATTAAGAGAGACGGAGAGGCAAGAAGTTATGGAAGCATTGAAACACTGTGAATGTTACAATGTTGATTCCGCAGCGATTTCCTTTCTCAATGCAGGATTTGATTGTAAAACCTGTCTTATGAAAGGTTACCCACGGTAACCGAAACGTCGGCGAATATAATTCTCTACCGACATCGTTGTGTTATTAACACTATAACATTAACATTCACAATAAAACAACATGGTGAATCGATTCTTCGATACACTCCTAACATCATTTGGTCCTGATATTTAAAAAATTGAAAACACATGGTTGATAGAATCCCTTGCGGAGTTGACCTCGAGATCGGAGGCAAGTGAAGCACTAATGACACTGCGAACATGGTCGATATTGATAGTGGTCTGATGGGTTGTAGGGGAACAACAGAAAGTGACATCATCGGCAAATCGGTGAGTGGGATTAGAGAAGTTGGATGTAAGATCATTGATAAATAAAAAAGGGAGAGGGTGAGCGAAAGTATGGAACTTTGGGGAACACCGACATTCACAGGGACTGGCTGAGATACGACCCTATCGACTCGGACAAAGAGGGTTAGCTTGCGCAGAAAACATTGGAGCCACGATACGACAGACGATGGAATCCGAAAGATAATTTTAGCACTAGACCTTCGTGTCAAACGTAATCGAAGAAATTGAAATGTCGAGCGAAACTATATGAGTTCCTCCGCGGTTGTCAAATGCAAATGACCAGGAATGCGATGTGAGCGCCAGTCAGTCACTGGTAGATCGACGAGGGCGAAATTCATATTGACGGTCATACAGCAAACCTTCGCGTTCGAGAAACGTGCGCAGCTGGTTGGAGATAATGGTTTTAAGCATTTTCAAATTTACAGAAGTGAGAGTGATGAGACGATAGTTGTTGTTAGGATCAGAAGGGTCAGCACGCTTTGAAATAAGATAAATAATGGCATTTTTCCAAGGAGTGGGGGTGCCAAAGGTTTGTCTGGCGTAAGGTGATGAAATAGTGTGAGAGAGATTAATTAGAAGAGGAATGAGGCGATGGTCTGATGAGCCTATTGGGCAAAGGGAAGTGATATTGGAGAAATAAGAGGGAATGAGAATGAGGTCAAGAGTGGATACGAGTGCGGTCACCAGTAGGATCAGAGATACGTGTGGGGAAGTCAACCATTTGACTTTGGTTTGTTGACCAAAGCAAAAGCCTCGGTTTCGCGTCCTATGAACGAAGTGTCTGAGGAATGCTTCAGCCATTCCTTGTTGTGGACATTTAAACCTCCAACAATGAAAATCAGGCTGTTAGGATAGACCACCATTAGTGTTTCAATGTTGAAAGATAGAATACCAAGAATGGAAGGAATGATGCTGCTCGGGGAGTGGTGAACGGTTACAAAACACTGGTTGAAAAAAGGGAATCGAAGTTTAAGCCACATAAGCTGAAATTCACGGTCGGAGAAGTCCAAGTGTGAAAGTCGGAAAGAAGCGACAGAATGATGAATATAAACGCAGGATCCAACCTTAAGAAGAATGGTGGAAGTAATTAGGGAACTGAAGATTAGTAGTGTCCGACGAGGGAGAGAATTTTGCCTCGGTTAAAAAGAAAGCCGAGGAAAACCAAGATTGAATAGAGTGATGTATAGAATTAATATTTCAATTTAAACTACGAATGTGAGTGAAGGCAAAAGCGTGCTGTGAGTTTGTAGGTACAGTGCGCATTCTGTGATTTACGGGAGTTGTATTGTTCATTTGTGGTGTGAGAGGAGCCTGGCAACCCAACCGTGAGACTTGGAGTGGTAAACCACACAATGCCTCAATATATTGAACATGCTATTGAGCTGGTCGACAGCAGAGCTGCCTACCGTCGATTTCTCAGTTATAGATCTTGGCTGCAATAGTAAGTACCCTAGATCCAATCAATTGATAGAGTCCTCGATACGCCAAATCCATTATGGAACATTCTTGGAACAGGTGGGTTGCTTTCCGTCGACTCCTTTGGTTTATCGAGGCATAAACCCCATGATTTGAGCTGGTTTGAGGCCAAATTCTATTCATCTAGGTCGGCACTCTTCTAGCCACGGAAGGCAGCTCAGGCTGGGGTGGCGAATTCGGGTTACACAATCAACGCATAGTCGCGAACAGTTTTTGTGAACGGAATTTTGAGTAGGGCGCTCGCATTCCTCAGGGCAATTTCCAGAATTGAATCCTTCTCCGAATCCCAACATAAACTTGCATTTAATATCTTTTTCGATGTTAGAAGGATTAAAACTGAAACCAAACCACCGAGTTCATCAATTGTTCTCTTTAGATCATCGAAACTCATTGCGAAAGATTGGTGGTGGTGGTGGAGGTGATGGTGGTAGTGGTGGTCAATGCCGAACTGATGGAAAATGCGCCATCCAGCCCTTGAACGGTTCTTCAAAACCACAATAGAAATGCTTCCCATGTTACTCATAATTGGCGAATATGAAAAAGCACTGAAAAATCGAAACCCCGTTTTGCAACGGAACAATACGAGGTTATTGTCGAAGATTTTTTTCTCCTCGGAGAAATCATCTGATGTTAATTCAAACACAAGCAGATCCGATCGGCGTTTGACCGTGAAACATTTCAACCAAACGAATTCTGGCACTGAGCAAGACGACATCCTGTGGAACTCATCTGTGCCACAGATTCTGCTCTGAACTCATCCCATCATAAACCAATTACATAACTGAGGACTTTTTCCTTTCCGTCGGTAGAATTTTGTGAATTCTGGTGCGGTAATTGAAGGTGTTTCCGTACATATTTCATGTTGAATTTGTATATAGTCAGTAAATTCAAAAATTCAATTTAGTTTTATATTCCTATGGGAACAAGAAGAGGCATTATGACCAAAGGATGTGTTTCATCCTACTAATTTATGGTTATCTTATCAGCTGTGTACAGAAATTCCGATCTCGTTGGGTTGAAAGGTTGACAGTTTGGGGACCAAGGGAATGCATACGAGGACAAGCCACTAAAGAATACGGAGGGCAAATATATCAAAAACTTAACCACATTGCCCATAAATATGGGAAGGATGTTCATTGCGTGGTGGTCAAGTACACCCTCACCGTCTTCGATCTGTCTACACCGAGCAGGTTTGTAGTGTCGACTGTCAGCTGTCTCTGCAAAACCGTAGTAAACTACTCTGGAAAATTAGGACATGAAAAACATGTTTAGGAGTATCACAATCTTTACAATCTGTATGGAAGCTTGAACGGATTATAAGCCAGATTCTTCGGTACATGTTCATATATCCCGGCGAACCGTCGTCTCTCAGCCCTTGTGATGTACTTAATACCGCATGTACATTAAAATGATCGATGTACTTATCTTCTCCATTTGTGTGTCCGCTTTTTCTCAAACTTATCAATCTTCTAACCAAACGCAATCTCTCTTTCCCTCTCTCTCTCTACAAATATATATATATATATATATATATGAGATAACCACGAAATGGTACAGTTAAACGCACTCTGTTTTCACGAATTAAAAAATGCAAGTTGCTGCATTTTAGTAGCCCGGATTTTGCAATGTACATAACTCGTTGAAAATTAATCGCACGTTATGTGTGCTCTTTCGTCGTTCTGTCGGCTTTTCATTACTCCGAAAAAGATGAATTTCATCCAGATTTTTCCCCACTAGTCAACTGAGGAGCGTGATTACATTCTACCAGTGAGGTCCCGAAATCGATCCTTAGTAAGACCGATGAATACAGACTTTTGACCGAACACAACAAGGTCGAAACAGCCGTAAGTTCCTTCTAGCTTTTCAGTCCACGTCTGATTTGATTTTCCACACGGCAAAATGCTCCATAAAGATATAAAATTCTTTCTTGTAATTATATTGAAACCTAAGGTCCGCAAGAAACAGCTTGGTGTGATGACGTTTCCCACAGAACTGTTTCATATCAGCCACATTTACTCAAGCGCACTAGTATTTCACGCGACACATACCCATTCCATTGACACGGTTCCTTCCTGAGCAAATTTAACCTATTCCCGTCCCATATTTTTTGGCCATTTTTTCGGATACACTACATTATGTGTCGATAATGAACAATACGATATTGTGTCGAGAAATTTTAGTCTGTAAACGGATCCCCTTGTGTAAACTGAGCATAGTTTAATCAAATTCGAGTTCCGTTTTCCTTTCCAGCTGAGGTGGCCTATCTTGGCTTAGTCTTCTCTCAAGTTTGACATTTAGCCCCGGAACATTCTTGATCCAAGCAACCAACAATATAACCAGTCTGGGAGCAAAACGAAGAAAATGCAGCTCGCCAATGGGATACACAAACTCCCATTGGTCTAGTCACCGATATTTGCTCAAATTAGTTATGGTGACTCTAAGCCGACTGGGTGTACACTGCACCATTTGTTTTGAATATTTTTGGCGCATTACTCTATCACTTGAGCAAATGGGAGAATACTTTGCTCAGACCAGGTGTCCAATTCAGAGGTGTTGAAAACGAACGGTTAATTCTGTACCGTGTTAAGCAAAATGTGCCCATTCGCACTGAACAAGCTCGATCCCCTAGGTAGTGCAAGTCAAGTCCTAGAGATGAAAAGCATTCCACGAATTTCGTCCTCATTGGGGTTGGGAAGTTCATGACCCCCCTCCCCTAACGGTTGTATAGTGCTTCTAAACTGTTCGGTTCGTTTTTCCTTTGAACTGTAAACGCTTATACATGTGTGCACTACAAAAAATCATTGTCTCTGGATTATTGTTTCTTACTGTCACTCTCCTTGTTGATCTGTTTTAGTTACCGCAATTTACGCATCAATTAAGAAGAAACTGATCAAACAAAAAAACGAAACAACCCAGCTGGTTGACTGATTGACTAATTTAGGTCGGAGTACATATATGGACATATATATATATATATATATATGTCCATATATATATATATGTGTATGTGTGTGTGTGTGGAACTCACCATAAGAGAAGACAATGTGTTTGACGAATGCCATGCCAACTTCGTAACCGAACAGGAAAAAGATTAGTCCAATCAAGGAAGTCATAAGACTAACTGAATGTAACACACCGAGTAGACGATGACGCCAATGGATCCAAGCCGGTTCCTTCTAAAAATACACCACAACAGATAAAACAGGGAATTTGGTACAGATAGAAAAAGAGAGATGTGTGTGTGTGTGTGTGTGTGTAAACAGGGGTTAATTCATCAAGGTTTTTCAAAATCGTTTAGTTATTTTCCTTTGATCGCTTCATTTCTCAATCAGCACAGGTCGACCACAGGGATCGACTATTATGCCGGGTGAGATAGCTGGATAAGTTGTAACGTACACAGATCAATGAATCACGCTTGGCCGTGTATGAATCGTGAGAATGCATGATTGTGGACGAGTAAGATGCACGCGTTTATAATATTCTGGAAGTGAACGTGTTTATTCCTGTGTGTGCAGTGTAACTGAGACCTTTCAGTGTAGCTTGTATCGGCAATACTGTAGCACCCGGGGAATCGTGTACTTCCAGTCTTTCTTTGACACTGAGGTAAACAAACGACAGTTATTCAATGCTTTTGTCTCTAATAATGGCACTTGTGTACTCAATCATAAACGACGTGGATCTTGGGGTTAATGAACCGGATACTCAATTGTTAAATGATCGACTCAATCGATCATCGGTCGAACGGATGCCTTTCAGTTTATTTCATGGGTCAGTAAAGTAGTAAATTTCTATCCTCGAACATATTGTAGCACCTGTAAAGCTGCAATCAATTACAGACACTGCACCCATCGTCAACATAGCTGCCGCCATCTCTATTACCATGTTCGATGTGTACGGACCGATCATGTTTCCGAGTCCCGGATGAGATGATACTTTCACCCATTTTACTTCATCAGTCAACATCGTGCCAATTCACCGATCGAATCCAAACTGTGATTCAAATTTCGCTCACATCAGGCAATAAAGTAAAGAATAAATAACCAATTTTGATAGGCTTCGAACATACTCCCAACTCACCAGTTTTCGTCCCAAATCGGTGTTTTTGTCCATCCATCGGAAGCATTTTTCGACAAGGAACTGAATCAGATTGATCACGATCCAAACGGCTAGTGAACAAAAGCACGTAACACGAGGAATCGGCGATTTAATCATTAGATCTTTCTTACTGTGGTACTCAGACTGCAATTGATTGGAGCGGTTCAAAATGTTTGCTTTATATAACTGGGGTTATATTCTGAGTATCAGTATTAAACCGATGGAGTATTACTAGTAAAATAAAATAAAAAATACTAGTGTTTGCCTAAAGAAACTAACTGTGTGATTAGAGTAATTTAAATAACACAAGGGATTTATCGTACTGTCAAACGCTTAACGAGCACTGTGAATAGCTGTTTCATCGTTGTTAGGCACCGTCAGCGGTGCTTATTGAACAGCTCGAATCTGGAAGTGCAGCGGTGAGTCACACACCAGATTGGGATCATTAGCTGGTTTTTACATCAACACTACATTATTCAACGGCAATCCTACCCTACCAATGAACGTTAACTACTATAGCTTATAATTGACTAAATAGTAGCCCGCTTCGACTAGGCAGGTGATGTCGAACTGCAGAGCGTGTAATTTGAACCGTAGTCTATTAGCTTAGTAGGGAATCTTGTATTCGATCAGATTCGTTCAATGTCTGTCTCGATTTTCATCAGGATTCTAGCATCCACAAAGTATGGCAAAGAATTGCTTTCACTTTGTATCGATCAAACTACAGTTACCAACTTTCTCAAGTGAATGACCATATAACAACTGCACAGATTTCGTGTTATGCCTTCTTCATTATCACGAACCACAAGTGGCATGTCTATCAGTTTTCCAATGACTACTCCCCTAAAAGCTCATAAATTAAATTGGATTATCCTAAATGCGGATCGATCAATGCCATTCGGTTTCTTCTTCACAACGCCTGTTCCAAAACATATTTGCTAGTAGCGAAAAATCTATATAGCTGACCGATAGGATGTCTATTGTCTTACGGGAGGAGGGGAAACATGTGTCGGAAAAAACACATGGTAGGCCTTCAGCCAACGTTCAGCTCTGATATTGTGTGGGTACGACTAGGCAAGTATTTTCCGCTCAAGAAAAAGAAAACAGTATGAAGCAAGTTCACCGGTTGACTCACTGTTATGCTTATTCACACTGTGGAAGAGAAGCACAAAAAGAAATGGCATTGCCATAGCCAAAAAATCACGTCCCAGTCGCGGGATCGAGCCCAATACGGATGAGTTGCCCCGATCAGTGTTATCACCACGTAGGGGGAGATAGATCTGTCTGTAGATAGAGGGGGTAAGGGGAGTGGGTGGATGTGGGGCGTGGGAGTAGAGGAGATGTAAAGTAGTGAGGTGGGTTAGAGTTACCAATGTCCACATTCTACAAACGAACAGGGATGTAAACGAGTAGCTGGAAACACAATAACACGGTAGTTGACACTGAGTTGCAAATCTCCGTAAATATCCTATGAGGACAAAGAGAAGATTAGGCTAGTAAGAAACTTCCATGACAACTGTCTGACTTTTTTCCGAGGCCACCCTCAGCAATATAATAGCGCACAATAAATGATGATTAGGAAAACTGTGAACTATCATTAACTAAAGTTCCTATAATCACTGTGAGGCGATACGACAGAACGCATAGATTTTCGATTAAGTGATCAATACGATTTTTTAAAAGAATTCCTATTTTTTATGAAACTGAAATGTACGAAGACTGGAAAAAAAATAAAATAAAAGGCCTTTTGTAACACTAAAATTAAAGTTAAAACGTTCACCATGTATCCTGAAGGTTTTAGGTATCGTTCTTCATACCAACTTCCGCAAGGAGTAATTAACATACATAATATTGATAAGGTCAAGAGGGGAATATCACAATCGGGCGTGATATTTCGGTACTTCAAATGACCTTCGAAAACTAGAATCATCAATACCGTAATTTGTCAAAGACATGTGGACCTTTGAGGAAATCTCCCATCATTTGTCTGGGTATTACGGAGGTATACTACCCGTCTGCATACACTGGAGTCTCACCGTGTTCAGTCACGTTGAACCGAGATGTTGTGACCAAAGAAAGCCTCAATCAAGGCTTGTAAACACAATCATCTAGCACTGTTCTATTTCTCCCTCTTTCTGGAATCTGTAGCATATACGCTTGTTCACTGTGCAACATAATACAACTATTTTGATTGCTGATAATAATAATAATAATAATAATAATAATAATAGTGACATTACCACTAATAGACGGCATGAAATTATTGAACTCAGAAAAGGAATAACAGGAACTGTATAATGGATACAAATGAACCCTTCACAAATCTCAATCGATCGATTGAGAAACATACCTGAACATGAAATTGTATAATCCTCGATCGAATGTTCTAGACAGAAAAAGAGAGAGAAGTGAAATCACATTTTTTCACCCGAAAACATTCCAATACAAGCATGAATGAAAGTAAACTGGTGCAAATTAAATTAGGATATGAGTGAACAACGCACAGAACCAGCAAAACTATGCCTTCATCCGTAGTGCATTATGCGACTCAATCGTATGATTTTGTTATCTTATGCGTGTGGGTAGAAAACGCGCAATCGCATATCTGATTCCTTTAAATGGAGTCGTTGTGTCCGCGAGTATATCACCGAATCTTCTCCCACGAGACGTTTCCCAACGATTTAAAACAAAAGACAATAACAAAACAGCAGAGCGAGCGTTTCTTAGAACTGCCAAGAGAGTACGCTGACTAATAGAGAAGCCTGCAATATTTATAAGGTTGAGATTTATTTAGACGTTTCCCGAATGAAATGTACCAGAAAGCCGATGGGGTGAATGGATCCATCGAGTAGCAGTATTCTGTGTTGCTTTGTATTCAAGTGATCCAATAACATGAAGAGAGAGAGAGAGAGCACGTGACTTCCCTCGCTGATGATTAGTCTAAACCCACTTCCGATTGATGCCATGGGGCTGATGGGGGGGGGACGAGGTTTTGCCTGACGAGAGTTTATTATGTTGTCGAGTAGATGAACAACTTGAATAACTGTCCCGTGCAAGCACCGATTGCGGAATGGCAACGAAAATGTCAGCCTAAACCAATTTGTGTCCGTGATCGAAATCAAGAGGCTGTTGGACAGAACTTGACACTTGTTACGTTGAATTACGCGTGAATAACAGCTATTTGATCATAATGAACGCATATAGTAGATGTTCAGAGGGGAGAACAATCGGGGCAACCACCAGCGGCCTCCAAAACGTGATCAGCAGGTTTGGATCCTTGGTTATGAGAAGTGAGTGACTACGAAGGAAACTTCACAGCGTTTTGTGATTGCATTATCCTCATAGATATACAGACTCCAATATATCATACACAAGTGAACAGAAAAGTTGAACGATTTGTGGATACGTTCAAACGGGCACCATTGTAGGCGAAGGGGGAGAAGAAAAAATGAGACCTTGGGGAACAACTGAGCATATTCGAAATTAAGGTGTTTGGGAGGTGTCGCACTTAGACTGAGGAAACTTCGCATACCTTTCGACGTAATTCGCCAGAAACATCCGGTAGAGAAAGGCAATGAAGAATGATAAGGAAGAGCAATAAAACAAGCATCATAGACAACGATCTTGTGCGTTCCTTCTGTGAGTAAAGATCAGGAAAAAGTACTATCTTCATATCGATAACAAGTAGACACCGAGGCGCATTCACCAGAAACGCGGTAGAGTAAGGTAGGAGATCCAGGTCAAACAGACGAAGTTTTTTTTTTACAGGAATTCCCCGTCGGACCTGCCCAGTACTGAGTTGGAAAACAACGCGGCACACATCTCAGATCAGTTTACTCGATATAGAAGAAACACTTATCATAAGAAAAGATCAACAACAAGTGAAGTCCTTTGTTCTGATCATCAACCGATTACATCAAAACAGAGTTCTCTCGTTGAAGAACAAGATGATCGGCTTACAGTCCTAGTGACAGTCAGGTGACAAAAGGATGAGAGCGAACGATTCTCAGAACTCCGTACCTCAACGGTTCTTTAACAGGCCAATATCTACAACTTCACAGTTTCTTGTTAATTGCGGTAGGCTATCCTTTAATCATGTCGCGTCTCCATCCAGGGTAACTTACAAGCGGGGTTCGATAAAATCCAGTCAATTACTGTTGTGAATGGTTACCCGAACGGTTTTTATTACGAAGTTCGGCCGGAAACCGAAGCACAGTTCAGTACAACATGCCGTCCCTTAGAAGAAGGTTTACATTTTCCTTCCCCTCAAAAACGACGAAATTAGCCTAACCTTCCAAGACCGGTTGAAAACAGTGGCAAAACTCATTTTGAATGCTGTCAACCCAATTGTCCTGTACACAATAACTCATCCCCACTCCATCCACAAAGTAACCCTTGGCACCTTGTGCCAAAACACATTTGACGTATCCATTCGAATGTGGATGTGGAGCATCTTACATTGATAGAGCAGACGGACAACTGTATGCACGGATCACACCCCATGTTCGGTAAAACGCCGGGTGACCGAATCACTTGATCAAAGGTCATTCTTGAATTTGATCCCTCAAACCCACACACGCATCATGCATCACTAACAGAGACATATAAACACATTACACCATTATCGCTGGGCTCCAAGCCCCGGCTTCTCAGTTTAGTGGAAACGGTGGCAACGGTAGCAAGATGATAATTTGGCCTCTGTGTGTGTGTGTGTGCAAAAAGAACTGCTGGTTACACTGCCACTATTTGGACAGTGTTAAAAGCAATGTAATCATTCGTTTGTGTAGTATTTGCTTGTAAGTGACGTATTGTCTAACCATATACTGTTGTTTTCTGCCGTTTTGAACCAGGTGATATACAGCAAAATCTGTCTTGGCATAAATCTCTCTCTCTGAAAATTGTGGTCGATATCAATGTGATGCGGAATAAAACAAAACACCTGTTCATTTGAAAACTGTACCAAAAACCGATCTATATATTTCTTTCTGGTTGAATTTATTTGATTGGGTTTTGAATGAGGTAATTGTGATGGTGTGATATTCCTAATCCTGCGATCGTGACACATGCACTTACGGTCAGACACAATGGTAAAACCGCTTCATGCTGTACGTGAATTCCGGTGGATGAGAGGCAGTAACCAAATGATGGGGTGAATTGCTGATCGATTTTGAATTAGAACAGAAATAGTTCTGCTGCCTACCGCACGTGCTCGGGAGAACTAGTACGCCAAATTAGGATTCGTTTGTTAGTAGTGTGTGAACTATTTCTCGGTCTATTGTAATCTGATTGCCGGTGACTGTTCTTCGGCCTTAACAGGCCATTGAGCTCGAGATAATCACCCTGAATTAAATTGTACAAATACTTTCTCCATGACACTGCTCATTAGAATCAATTTCATATAGATTCTGGGAAATAAATGATTTCACGAAAGGAACTAGGCGGTACATGGCGCCCAGTTCATTTCAATTCCATATGTAGGTTCAGTGTTTCCTTTCACACTTCACCACAAACCAGACCTGGTCACAAATGGTTCATTTGTATTCTCTCCAAGCTATTACGTTAGATACGTGTCTTACACAGATTTTTAGGCTGGCAGCTTCAGACACCAGTGTGTCGGTTATAAATCCATCGCATTCCCGGTAATGCGAATGTGAGGGCACAAATGAATATCCCTCCGTAGATATAACTAGAATCATACGACGTTTTCGCAGTTAGAAATGTAAGAACGAACAAGAGTGATGGAGTGGAAAGTGCAATCACCGTTGTTATTCCACAAGTCCGGATGCGGGTTTAAGGGTAGTTATTTACGAAAAGAACAGTTTGGGATAGGGATAAAAACAGGATTATGAAGAACAAAATATTTAATTTGCAGCTGTTGATTAGTATTTTTGTGAACATCTCTTTATCGGCGATCGTGAGCCCGGCAGTCTGTTTGTCCCTTTTGTAACGGCTATGATAAATCCTCTCCCAGACACCAAGGATATCCAACAGTCGCTTGTTTTGACGTGCACCAAAGAACTACTCACAAATGTGAGTAGTACCTCACGACGGCATGACTGCCACCACCAATACCACCTGCAATCATATGTGTACAACATGCGGGCCAATCGGTAGATGACAAGTTTAGCTTACAGAAATGTAGTATTTTAAATTTACAACACAACAAATGATAACGTCCTAAATTCAGTCAAAACAGTCAGATGACGACCTAGTAAACAATGGTGCTGAGGTGATGCATACTGGGAAACTCCGGTTTATTTTATTCATTCAATTAACTTTCAAACCAGATCAATATTAGGATATTTTTATGCCTATCTGCAACTCCTTATGGGAAGTCAGTTGTAAAACATACTCTGAACTTCGAAAGCCTCTAATTTGAACGTGACTGATTGCATTTACCTCCACATCTCGGAGAACAAGGTGATACGAAACACGCAAGACGGTGGACCGGGAACTAGACAGAGTGATAGACCGTTCCACTTGGCTTTTTCACGTTCAATCTCTTGTCGTCGCACCTCCGACTGCCAGCCTTGCACGGTTTCGATCACATACTGTTCAGTGTCGGCAATCAGTCCGGGGATCCCGTAGATCAGAGTGTGAAAGTAGTAGAAACTGATCCCGGCCAAATGCAGACAACTCCAAACGGTCCAGGATCGGACCTGGATTCCTCGATCGTGCCATGGGTTCAAGGACGCCTTGGATGAGTGCATATTCAAATACATCGGGTAGCTCAGTATGGCTTTGGCGTACAGAGTGCAGGTCAAGATAGTCCCGAATGCGGCTGCGGCCAGGAGTCGAATGGCCCGACCGATCAGATGAGGCAGTGTAAGACGACGAAACCGACCCAGTGATCGTGTGAACTGTTTCGGCTTTTTCTGTGTGCAGGATAGTCAGAGGATTACGGTGTGCATAAAAATGTATTACTGAAACAAATTACAGAAGAATTGTTTTAAACTACGGAAGTTGTATGAGGTTCAACCATTCAGAAGTGTTAGTTTCAATATGCCGTTGGCATGTTGTATAAACCGATGGAAAATGTTGTAGGCTGCTGCTGAATTTTGTTTGAGAAACCTAGTGGTGCTATCTCTGCACTTCGGTATACGAGTCAATCGGTGCTGGAACCTATTAATGAGTCTGAAAAAGGAATTAAAACACCGTGAAATTGATTGATAAAAAACGTTTTTCAAACCACCAACCTTCCCAAGAATAAAGCAATTCAAGGAATCTGAACTTTAGTTTCTTTGTATCGGTATGTAATATACTATCTCACGTATTATTGAACTTAAGCTTCTATAAGGATGGGAACCAAAGTATTTTACCATTAATATCGATGAGATACCGCTTCTGAGATGCTATCAACCGACACCACACCCCACGACGAAAGGGTTAATCGGGACTGACGAACAGAAAGCTTTTTGGAGCAGCACACAGAGCCTGATTAATATAAATTCTCATGCGGTTTTTAAAACCCTGGTTTTAGTCATGTAGCATTCATACATTGAAGGTATTGATCATTGAGAAGGAAGCTTAAGGGTAGAGGTATCGACTCCAAACGAGAAGGTTTGCGTTTTGGATCCCAGCACTGCCGACGGCGCACCAAAAGCTTCACTATGTTTGTGGGTGTGTGGGTTTCTAGGGTTGTAGATGGTCAGCTTTCCGTTGCACCTCGTGAAATGCTCCTATACTACCGAGTGTCTCAAATAGCCTCGGCTGAGAGCGCCCTGTTCACGCCAATATCCGGTGCCACAACCGGGAGGGAAGGTAGCTGGTTAAAAACCCTGATTCGAAAACAATCAAGATGAAGCGTAAGGAAAAAAACATACACCTCCCGGGTTGTGGCAATGGTCACCGGCTCAATTGAGCATCGAGGTGCGTTGAACGTTTGACTCAGTCCAAAGGGTGTATAATCCGATGAACTGGACATTAGCCCCCCAAAGGATTACGGTTTTTATACACCGCCATCCGCTATCCGAAGCCTCCCATTGTGGATTCGCCCAAGAAAATTCATCTGCCTTGGCCAGGGTCACCTGGTAGTATTCCGCCTACATGCAGATCATGGAGCTTTCTTCTTTTTATAAAGAATAATGTACCCTGATTTATCTGGCAAACAGTCTGTCCTCAGATGTGTATGAAATATAAACATAAATCCCAGTACTGCTCATAAATACTTCTCGAACAGTCCATAGTACGTTTCATTCGGCAGCCTCTACCTTTTCGTCATTCATTGTGCCATGCTAATTAACATCTTGGAGAAGCATAGGGTAACACTAATTTAATATTTCCTTTATATTGGAAACACACATACAAAATGGTTTTTTTGGGAAATGGATTATAGGGCTTAAAAAGGGCTTTGTCATTCAAAGTCAAAACCGGAAGTTTCAAATCGCTCATTGATGAATTCTGCACAACTGTTCTGAACTTCATTCGGATAAGCTATGTTTAATTCACATAATGGGACTATTTCGCCCTGTAAAATATCATTGATCAATTGACATCTAATTTTTCACATTCCGTGAGGCAGAATTCAATTCCATTGCCCTCTATATTGATCTACTTTTCGTATAGAGATTGATTTCCGAATGGTAAGTTGTTAAGATCAACGTAGGATAGCAAGTAGTACTGTGTACGTTGCTTAGTCCTGACACCCAGTTAAAGGTATCCCAAGAATATTTCTGCTAGTAGTTTTGCGGGTTACAATTGCAGCACACATGTGAGCACCAATCGAGGAGCCATGCATGTGGCATGGAATTACCCCCTCACGCATGAGCATCGCCAAATGAATGTTGTGACGGAGTGGTGCTGAAAAATCCCAAGAACACGTGATTACGGATCTTAAAGGATTCGAAATATCCCAATGGGTCGACACAGAAACAATCATTTCAGATTGGGGTTTTTGAACTAGCAATTGATGTTTCACAATGAAAGGTTGATTTGAACAGGTTTAACAAGTTCCAACCTGCCTTATTTCATGACTCATGCCATTGAGCTGTGTCAAATTATAAGTCCCTTAGTGATTTAGGAATGTGCATCGTCCATGTGATATTCGCCGTTTTGTCCAAAAAGGTTCAAAGACATGATGTGATTTATTACAAGTTACTTCGTAATAATTCTACTGGAGACATCCCCTTTCACAAAGAACCAAAGTAAACGAAATCTCCATGATGAACAACAGCAACAGTAACATACAACTCGCGAGTAGGGTGCTTCCGAATACGTTTGAAGTAGACAACTCGACTTTTTATCTTGGTACAATGCATTGCAGCATCCCGCTTGAACGTGGGCCCCCGAATTTCACATCGCTTCCTGCACAGGCACATTTCAGTAGGATGCCAGTGTGTGTGTGTGTGTGTGTGCGTGTGTGTATGTATGGCCACAATACGCGTTTAGGAAGCATGCTTACCATAGTGGGCAGTGCACTACGGACAACTACACATTGGAGACTTGTTTACGTGTGCTTGTGTGTATGATTGCACTATCCGTTGGTTGAATGTGCTTGCACAGACAAGCACACGCATGTATGCAGTGCACACATCCGCTCCCTCATACCGATTGTCGCAAAACACGGTGTGTGTGTGTGTGTGTGTGTGTGTATCATTCATGTGCCGTGAAGGCCGGATGCATGGAGCCCAATTTACGAGGTCGATGGACGGATGCCTTTGTCTATGGCGTTTGCAGCAGCCATCGAATTATGTTATAAGTGAGTTATGAAGCAGTGACAGAGTTAGCGGGACGTGGCCAGCTGAAATCGACTCTTTTAATTGCACCGTGAACTTTTGATTTTCCTGATAGGTAACTGAATAAACAGTTGGAATTTAAGCATGGACTCGACAGTCTAATCCAGGCGACAGGTTTGATGGAATCTGTAGACAGTCTATGCCTCACATAGCGCAAAACTGAGTTCTACCAGCTTTTAAGACATTCACGAAATTATCGTTTTATAGTAGTCAAACGGAACATTCAATCCACATTTAATCCTTCTGTGCATAGCCTGGATGGCATGAATACAGAAACTAAAAAAGAAACCCAACAAACTTCGGTGTTTAGTAACATTGAGAAAAAAACAAATTGTGATTCATTAGATCGCCTGTCCGTTTCTGTAAAAGAAATTTTTTCAGTCTGCTCGGTTACACAAGGAAATTAACATTTTTAGATTTGATTAAAACCACTCTCACTTCAGCTTCCCGACGAATTGATATTGACAGGAATATTGATCGAAAAAGATGCATTTCTACGTGATTGAAAGTGGAAAATTGGTGGTCTTGTGTAAGAAAAGTGCATTGGAATTGAAAATGTTGTGATTTTTCTACCATATGGGCTATACAAGTCATTCTTACACAGAGTCCGCATGCAGCTTTTTACGCTCAGACAGTTACAGTATCGTGAACAAAATGAACCCGACTTCACCGTTTCGTGAGTAAAAACACCCTCATACTTATTTACATAACAGTCCAACAACACTAAAATTTTGGAACGAATGCTCAGCTGCTCGATACATTTCTATGGTATGCCCAATTGTCAACTTAGTTCGTATCAACGGGATCAGAAAGTGTGTTTAAACGGAGAGATCTAGGAGAACCCGGTGCGAATTGATCTGTTCGATCGGTCGAGGGAACAGTGATTCAGTCACCAGCCAACTGAAAACGACCAACAAGCACTTAGATGTATTTTGGTGAGTCACGAATGGAACAGACATGTTCATACCAAGCAGTCAAAGATCTATCCTTTTTGGCCGACTGTTTTCAAAGTGTGTGCGCGTNGTATGTGACTCTGGTGCAAACTTGCTAATGACGAGATATCTGATGGAATCTGGATCGGTTGCTGAGTTGACGAGGTCAGTGATTGAAACAACCCGGTATCGTCACAGTCACCTTTCTTGCATGCGTGGTGAGAATTGATGCGCACTGAAGCAGTTCCGGACAGACGAAAATGTGACTGCATGCCTCCGTGGGTGCTGTACTAGACGCGAGAGTCAGGAACAACTGATCAACATGTGTGCCACTGGAACACGAATTAACCATTCAATCTAACCTTGCTGTTGGGTTTCAGTGCACCAAAGGCTGATTCAACAGATGGAAAACACACGGCTAGGTGGAACGATAAACTGTAGTTCATTTTAGGTCACAGAACATGCCCACTAGGGTGGGGGGGGGAGAGGGAGAGGGAGAACACACGTTCAGAGGAAGAGACATGTTTAAAGGGTTGGGTGTTCAATCAGTCATAGGTTTCAGTGATCGAATTCTGGAAGAGGATGGGAACGGTGGTGTGACGTGTTTCAC